CCCTGTGAATACCTCAGACTTTCAGATACATATTTTCTGAGAACCAAATTTACTATTATGAAGTAATTCTCTTTCATGTTAATAATGGATTTTTCCTTAATGTCTATTTTGTTTCACATTAATATAGCTAACTCTTTCTTTTAGTTACCATTAACATGATATTAGCTCCTGCCATCTTCTGATATTCAAACTTTCTGTGTCCTTGTATTTCAGAGATGTCTTTTCTGAACAGCCCATAGTTGGGTTTCATTATTGCATTCAGGACTTTAATCAGAGATTTTTGCCATCTATACTTAATATAATTACTCAGCTTTAAATTTGTCATCTTCCTGAATATTCTCCATGTCTTGTTTATTTTTCATACTCTTTTCTTTCCATTTTTGTTTTAGATTTTATCCCAGTATGTATCTCATTACAGTTTCTTTGGTAGTTATCCTAGAGATTGCATAATACCTAACATACTCTTATTCCTTACCATATAATACAAGGATGCTAGGGCATTTTAACTCCAACTGTCCCACTGCCACTGGCATCATTTGAAAAAAATATATTTTAATTTAAATTTAATTAACATATACTGTATTATTAGTTTTGGAGGTAGAATTTCGTGATTCACCAGTTGCATCTAATACCCAGTGCTCATTACTTCAAGTGCCCTCCATAATGCCCAAAACTCAGTTACCCCATTCCCACGTCCCCTCTAGCAACCCTCAGTTTGTCTCCTATAGTTAAGAGTTTCACATAGTCTGCCTCCCTCTTTGTTTTCATCTTATTTTTCCTTCCTTTCCCCTATGTTCATCTATTTTGTTTTCTTAAATTCCACATGAGTGAAATCATGTGGTATTTGTCTTTGACTTATTTTGCTTAGCATAATACCCTCTAGTTCCATCCATGTCTTTGCAAATGGCAAGATTTCATTCTTTTTGATGGCTGAGTAGTGTTCCATTGTGTGTGTGTGTGTGTGTGTGTGTTGTGTATACATATATATACACACATACACACACACCACATCTTTATCCATTCATCTGTTGATGGACATCTGGGCTCTTTCCATATTTTGGCTATTGTTGATAGTGCTGCTATAAACATTGCGGTGCATATGCCCCTTCAAATCACTATTTTTGTATCCTTTGGATAGATACCTAGGAGTGCAATCCTGGGTCATAGCGTAGCCCTATTTTTAACTTTTTGAGGAGCCTCCATACTATTTTCCAGAGTGGCCACACCAGTGTGCATTCCCACCAACAGTGTAAGAGGGTCCCCCTTTCTCTGCATCCTCGCCAACATCTATGTTTCCTGAGTTGTTCATTTTAGCCATTATGACCAGTGTGAGGTGATATCTCATTGTAGTTTGATTTGTATTTCCCTGATGCCAAGTGATGAAGAATATTTTTTCATGTGTCTGTTGGCCATTTGTATGTCTTCTTTGGAGAAATGTCTGTTCATGTCTTCTGCCCATTTCTTGACCAAATTTTTTGTTTTTTTGGGTGTTGAGTTTGTTAAGTTCTTTATAGATTTTGGATATTTTATCTGATAAGATGTTTGCAAATATCTTCTCCCATTCTGTAGGTTGCCTTATAGTTTTGTAGACTGTTTCTGTTGGTGTGCAAAAGCTTTTTATCTTGATGAAGTTCCAGTAGTTCATTTTTGCTTTTGTTTCCCTTGCCTTTGGAGCCGTGTCTAGCAAGAAGTTGCTGTGGCTGAGGTCAAAGAGGTTGCTGCCTGTGTTCTCTACTCGGATTTTGATGGGTTCCTGTCTCACATTTAGGTCTTTCATCCATTTTGGGTTTATTTTTGTGTATGGTGTAAGAAAGTAGTTGAGTTTCATTCTTCTGCATGTGGCTGTCCCAATTTTCCCAACACCATTTGTTGAAGAGACTGTCTTTTTTCCACTGGATATTCTCTCCTGCTTTGTCAAAGATTAGTTGATCATAGAGTTGAGGGTCGATTTCTGGGTTCCTATTCTGTTCCATTGATCTATGTGTCTGTTTTTGTGCCCGCACCACACTGTCTTGATGATTACAGCTTTGTAATACAGGTTGAAGTCTGGAACTGTGATGCCTCCAGCTTTGTTTTTGTTTTTTTTCAACATTACTTTGGCTATTCAGGGTCTTTTCTGGTTCCATACAAATTTTAGGATTGTTTATTCCAGCTCTGTGAAAAATGCTCCTGGCATTTTGATAGGGATTGAACTGAATGTATAGATTGATTTAAGTAGCATAGACATTTTAACAATATTTGTTCTTCCAATCCATGAGCATGGAATGTTTTTCCATTTCTTTGTGTCTTCTGCAATTTCTTTCATAAGTGTTCTATAGTTTTCAAAGTAGAGGTCTTTTACCTCTTTGGTTACATTTATTCCTAGGTATCTTATGGTTTTTGGTCCAGTTGTACATGGGACCCATTCCTTGATTTCTCTTTCTTCTGCTCATTGTTAGTGTATAGAAATGCAACTGATTTCTCTGTATTGATTTTATATACTGTGACTTTGTTGAATTTCTGTATCAGTTCTAGCAATTTTTTGGTCGAGTCTTTCATGTTTTAAAATTCTTTCTTTAGGGGTACCTGGGTGGCTCAGTTGGTTAAGTGTCCGACTTTTGATTTTGGCTCAGGTCATGATCTCAGGGTTGTGAGATACAGCTCCATGTTGGGCTTTGTGCTGGGTGTGGAGCCTGCTTAAGATTATCTCTCTCTTCCTCTGTCCCCATCCCCCAACCCCCACTCACCCACACATACTCTCTCTAAAAATAAATAAATAAATAAATAAATAAAAATAAAACAATTCTTTCTTTAAAACTCTTAGGACTTTTTAAAAATTTTTCCAACAGAAAATGTTCATTTAATTTATTCATGTAGCTTATCCCTTTGTTGCTGTATATTCTTTCTTGCATCTTCAGTCTTCCAACAGGAATCATTCTTTCTTTTGCCTGAAGAACAGTACCCTAGTATTTTCTTTAGTGTAGGTCTTCTAGAGATAAATTTCCTCCATTTTTGACTGTCTAAAAATACTTTTCTTGGGGCACCTGGGTGGTTCAGTCGGTTAAGTGTCTGTTTTTGGCTTAGGTCATGATCCCAGGGTCCTGGGATCAAGCCCCACATCGTGCTCCCTGCTTGGAGGGAAGCCTGCTTCTCCCTCTCCCACTCCCCCTGCTTGTGTTCCCTCTCTCACTCTCTCTCTCAAATCAATCAATAAATAAAAATCTTTAAAAAAAATAAAAATATTTTTCTTTTATTCTTTAATGATATCTTTACTGGATGTTGACTACCATCAAGATTGATAGCCATTGTCTTTCAGCAATTTAAAGATACTGCTCTACTGTGTTGGCTTTTTTGTTTTTGGGAGAAGTCAGATGTCAGTCTAACTCTTACTCCTTTGAAATCAATGTTTTTAATTCTCTGGCTGCTTTTAATATTTCTTAATTATCTTTGTCTTTTAGCAGTTAACTTTGGATTTGTATTTATTTTGTTTCAGTTAATTTGGGCTTCTTACCCCTTTGGTTTATTTCTTTTCATCATTTTTGGAAAGTTGTAGCTATTGCTTCTGGCTTATTCTCTCATCTCCTGGGGTTTCCAATTATAGAAATCTTATTCCTTCTCAGTGTATCTCCTATGTTGCTTTGCCCCTCTTCTTTATCTTCTTTTTTTCTGTATCTTGCTTTTTTTTTCTTTTCTTCATGCTTCATTCTGGATATTTTCTTTTGGCCTGTCTTCCAGTGCACTAATTAACTTTTTAACTGTGTCTAATCTGCTTTAAACATCCATTAGTTTTTAATTTTGATTTTCTAATATTTCAAACATCTATTCTCTTTATTGTTTTTATGTCTCTACTAAATTTCTCAGTCCTTTCTTTTCTGTACTTGGCCATAGTAAATTTCGTTCTTTCTTTTTTTTTTAAAATTTCATTATTTCTGTTAGTGTATAGTCTCATACCCTTGTGGGCCTAGCTATTTTTCATTATGTGCTGAACCTTATATTGTTTTTAGAAATTATATGAGTCCTAGACTGATGTTACCTTTCTCTAAAGAGAATATTCTCAATCCAGTTTTAGGGATTCATCTGATCTAACACTGAGCTTTAGTTATCTTTAAGGTAAATTCAGGGTCTCAACACAGATTAAGAGAGTCCATCAGGTCCACCCCTCCTCTGGCAGACCTTACCTTCCACTTCCTATGCCTGTAGGCTCAGGAAGCTAATGAAAGGTCCACTTACTTTCCCTGGTGCCCTCTTTAGAATTAGCAAACACCAAACACTAAGGGAAAAGCAGCTCCAAAAGTCAGGTACACCTTACGTGGCTTCTTCAGGACCCTGTCCTGATAATTTTTCCTTTTATCCTATGACTCCAAGCAGACTTAAAAAAAAAAAAAAAAATCCAGTTTTTGTAGTTGGCTCCAGGAGACAGGCAGGTCCTAATTACCTAGGTTGCCATAACCTAGGTGTATCCCAAGAAAAATAAATGCCATGGGAAGATTTTCTTATTTCAAAGGCAAGAATTCTAATACTTACAGTCATTACTGTTTACTAACAGCTAAAGTTTTATTAAGTATTTTTCTGCTTACCTGCTATTGCCTCAATACTTGGAATTGCAATAGTGCTGTAAGTACTGATTCTCTTACAAGACCATGTATAAACCAATGAGTCTTCTGTACTTTCCAGTCCCGAAACTGAATCAATAAAAAAAGAGCCCCACTTTTTAGATAATGTATTTAGAGGCTTTGCCTTTGATCCCTGAAACAAGAGAAGAGAACAATGAAAACTATGATTAATTTTCAGTGTCGTAAGTTTTTCCCCCATTAAGTAAATCAAAATAGAAAAACTCTAGGAATTTCAGTAGTTTACCTTTAACCAAACCAGATACTATATAAAAAGGAAAACAAAGCTTAGAAGTTCTTTCCTCCTCTGGGAGTACCTAGGTGGCTCAGTTGGTTAAGCATCTGACTCTTGATTTCTGCTCAGGTCATGATGTCAGGGTGGTGAGATCGAGCTCTGCATTGGGCTCTGTGCTGAGCATAGAGCCTGCTTAAGATTCTCTCTCTCCTTCTCCCTCTGCCAACCTGCCCCCCGCCCCACCCAATGCTCTCTCCCTAAAAAAAAAAAAAAAAAAAAAAAAGAGTATCCTCCCCTGGTTTTGTTTGGGAACCCTTTCTCATCCTTTGGGATCTGGCCTGGATGCCATCTAGGACATTTTCCTTAATTGTCCCACTCTCAGGTTAGATTAGGTCTTCTCCATTTTCCCACCCTGAGTTTATTCCTAATATACTACTACTCATGCTAACTTTAAATTATCGTACTATTACTTTTCACTTCTGGCAGACAATGAACTATAGAAGATTAGGAGCTTTCTTATATATTATTGTAACTTTAAGGCTTAATGTCTAGGTCAGAGCAGGGATATAAATATTGTAGACTAAAAGATTCATTAAAAAATACTTCTCAGTGTTTTATGGATATGGAATAAAAGTAAGAATTGTAAAAACTCCCATCATATCCATACAATCTGGATTATAAAATCTGTCACCTTTTTTTTAAAGATTTTATTTATTTATTTGTCAGAGAGAGAGAGCACAAGCAGGGGGAGCTGCAGGCAGAGGGCCCTGGGATCGAGTCCCGCATCGGGCTCCTTGCTCAGCAGGGAGCCTGCTTCTCCCTCTGCCTGCTGCTCCCCCTGCTTGTACTCTCTCTCTCTGACAAATAAATAAATAAAATCTAAAAAAAAAAGAAGGAACTGTGTGTGACTCAAGCAGAAGTCTCTGATATTCTTAGCAAAGAGGCTTGCATAAATTAAAAAGTTATGTATATGCTGAACAAGAGAATGGTGTTAGACTGGCTTTTTAATAATGAATGGCATTTGGCATTTCAGTCAGAAACAAACACTGTTTGTCAGTTGAAACAAACGCTTATTAAGATATCTCTGCTAATCCAATAAGATCTTATGTTTGACACTTGTGATAAAAATTTTGAGTATTGCTCTGAAAAATTTGTATGTGTATGTACACATACACAGAGCTACCAAATCTTATTTCTCAATTACAGTGTAAGTAGATTTAATTAAGGATGAATCTATATAAGAGAGAGTATTATACATATGGAGACTAAGTTATATTGGATCTCTCTTTCTCTTCATTATTATATAAATTAGAAATGATCCATTTACAGTCTTGAAAAAGGAAAAAAAAAAGTATGTGTATGAATAATCATGTTAGGGTCACTGACCACCATGGAAAAGTAAGAAGTTTTCAATAAAGACAAAAAGCCCTGAATATAACCAGTTTCCTCTACCTAACTTGTAACATTTTTACTGACAAGACTAACTACAAAAGAGGGCTGAGAAAAAAAACCTAACAAAAAAAATGTCTCATAGAAAGTAATTTGAAAGAATCTAACTCCAAACTCATTACACCTTTTATTCTTTTTTTAAAAAAAATGGTCAATTGGTTTTAATCTAAAAACTACCCCAAACACAGCAATCTAGAAGGGTAAATTTTTTCCCCCACACATAACTCTCTAATCTTATTATTATTATTTTGTCTAATGGGTAGTTAAAAAACAACTTGGTCTAATTTTATTTGGGGTTTTTTTTGGAAGATTTTTTTAGAAGGGAATGAGGACACAATTATTATTTATCGCTTTCAATGTATCTGGAACATAAAGCCAACAAACTGATACAAATTCAAATTACTGGTTCTTTTAAAAAATATGCTTTATTTTTTAGCTACCCACTGGACTACTGAGAGGTAAGTATGTCTAGTAGGTCTAACCATAGTCCCTGCCCCAGATATACTCTTCATTCTGGGAATTTCTAAAGGGTAGTGGTTATGTTCCAGGCATAATTCTTTTTTTTTTTTTAAGTTTTATTTATTCAAGTAATCTCTACACCCGATGTGGGGCTCGAACTCGTGACCCCGAGACCAAGAGTGTCATGCTCTTCAGAATGAGTCAGCCAGGTGCCCCGGAGGCCTAATTCTTAACGAAACAGTGTTTGTTTCTGACTGAAATGCCAAATAACTGTTTACTAAAATAAAGATTAAAGTTTATTTCATTATAGTACAGAGTTGTCTAATGGAGTGAAGCTTTAGTGAACAATATTCGTCCCAGTTTATATTTTTCTAATCTAACTCATAGAAATGTATCTCAGACTATTTTATTAGTAAATCAATTTAAAAATCCAGACTCAGTGTTATCAATCTGACTGCTTGCAGGTGGTATCAATATCACCATTGTTTTAATTTATGCTTCATGGATTACTAATGAGGATAGATATCTCCTCCTATGTAAGCTTTCCCTGTCAGTCAACTGCTGGATACCTTTTGTCCAATTTCTTACTTCAACAGATATAAATTCACTGTTGGTTTTTATTAGGTTCAACCCTAAGAAAGTCCTGATGTTCAACTATTTTAGACATACGAAAAAGGGCAATTTCATAATGTTCTATCTAAATGGATGTTGTAAGACCCTTTTCCCTGTCTTTTACCCACTGGTTAACAGTATTCCAGGTATCTTGAACAAAAATATTTAATAATGATACAAAGTCATTTTTTCTTTTTTCTATTTTTAAAAGATTTTATTTATTTGTCAGAGAGAGAGGGAGAGAGAGACAGAAAGTAAGCACAAGCAGGGGGAGCGGCAGGCAGAGGGAGAAGCAGGCTCCCTGCGTAGCAAGGAGCCCGATGCGGGACTCGATCCCAGGACCCCGGGATCATGACCTGAGCCAAAGGCAGATGCTTAGCTGACTGAGCCACCCAGGCGTCCCCAAAGTCATTTTTTCTACTTATTGCTGCCCATTTGGATTCTAACTTGAGAAATTCTTCCCTACTCTAAGCCCACAAAGATATTTTCATAATTTTCTTCCACTATTTTTACAGATATATTTCTTATTTTCAGGGCTATAATCCATTTAGAATTTATACAAGGGGGAAAAAGGGACTCATTTTTCTCCATATATTGGGTCTACTTACTCAGTGCTTTTTACTGAACTATCTTTTCCTGCTGATTGATAACCCTCTATCATGCATCACATTTATATGGTAACTTGGAATGTGATCAAGGGTCTTATGTCTGCATTCTTTTTCCTCTGTTCACTGACCTTTTTATATATTTTGTTATTAATACTATATTAAAAAGTTACTGTAGCTTCCTAACATGTTTAGTATCAAATAGGGTGAGATTCCTCCCCTTTATTATCCTGTTTTATAAAATTATCTTAGCTATTTGTGGGCCTTCAGTTTTCTGCCTAAATGCAGAATCAGTTTGTGAAGGTCCAACCAAAATCCTCCTGGGATTTTGTATAACATTATGTTGACTTTATAAATAAATCTGAGGAAAATAGGTATCAGTATAATCTTAAAATATGGTATATCTTTCCATTTTTTCATTTGTATTTAGAATCTTTTTAATTTTTTTTAAAGATTTTATTTATTTATTTGACAGAGACACAGTAAGAGAAAACACAAGCAAGGGGAGTGGGAGAGGGAGAAGCAGGCTTCCCCCTGAGCAGGGAGCCCGATGCAGGGCTCGATCCCAGGACCTCGGGATCATGACCTGAGCCGGAGGCAGACGTTTAATGACTGAGCCACCCAGGCGCCCCTAGAATCTGTTTTTTTAAAATTGAGGTGTAATTGACATACTAGTTTTAGGTGCAGAACATAATAATTTGATGTTTCTGTATATTGCAAAATGATCATAGTAAGTCTAGTTTACAAATTTTTTTTCTTATGATCAGAAATCTAAAAATCTACTCTCCTAGCAACTTTCAAGTGTAAATATAGTATTATTCACCATACTTACCATGCTGTACATTAAGTCCCCAAGACTTATTTATTTTATAATTGGAGATTTATACTTTTGATTCCTTTCACCCATTCAGAAACCCTAATAGAGATTTAAGACCTCTATCAAGGTCTTATGAGATATATTCCTAGATAGTAATATAGTGATTCATTTTCTTTGCTTTTGTAAATGATTGATTTCTTGTTACACTTTCTAAGTCCTTACTGGTGGTACAGAGAAAAGCTAGTGATTCTTTTTTTTTTTTTTAAAGATTTTATTTATTTATTTGGCAGAGAGAGAGACACAGCGAGAGAGGGAACACAAGCAGGGGGAGTGGGAAAGGGAGAAGCAGGCTTCCTACCAAGCAGGGAGCCCGATGCGGGGCTCGATCCCAGGACTCTGGGATCATGACCTGAGCCCAAGGCAGACGCTTAACAACTGAGCCACCCAGGCGATTCTTTTTAAGAAAGAGAGAATGCAAGCGGGGAGGAGCAGAGGGAGAGGGAGACAGAGAATGTTAAGCAGCTCCACACCCAGTGTGGGGCCTGACACAGGGCTTGATCTCATGACCCTGAGATCATGACCTGAGCCAAAATCAAGAGTCAGATGCTTAACTGACTGAGCCACCCACGTGCCCCAAGCTCTTGATTTCTGAGTACTGATTTGGATCCAGCATTTTCACAACTCTCTTCTTATAACAGTTTGCTGATTTCCTAAGGTGGTCTATGCTAATGACCATACAACTCTGAAATAATCACAATTTGGTATCTTCTAACCCTAATTCCATATTTCTTTTTCTGGTGGCGTTGGTCACCTCTCTGTAACACAATATAATTAATAACAGATATCCTTTGTCTAGCTCAGAACCTTGAAGAGCATGTGTCTCCATTAAGTATGGCTTTTTTCCTCATTAAATTTTCCATTACAGATTAGATTCTCACTGTGTTTTGTTGGATAGCGTTTCTCTAGTAAAAGATTGGCCCCTTCTGGTTTGCTGAGAATTTCCATCATTAAAATGAATTATTTTGGCACCTAAATTTCATAATATGTTACTGTAAAAAGCTGAAGAATACATTTTTATTTGTTTTGAATTAAAATGAAGAAACAGATGAAAACAGTAATGGAGGCTAAAGAGGAGAGCTCCTTTTGGAGGCTAATCTTATGAAATTTAAGACTGTCCAAGTAATTACAAGATTAATGAAGTGACTTTTATTTCCCAAAACAAAGATGAATGGAAACAAATTATTCTTCCTTAGTCTCTCTCCTTAACTAGGTTTAATTATTATAATGGGTCATTTTTGCTTATCTGTTATGCTCCAATATAGTGGAGTGGATAATCAACAGATGCAGTAAGATTTTCGAAAAAAATTTCTTATATAGGCCTTTAGAGTGCTATTTGAGATATTCTCTGTCCTTATCTTGAGTTTCCTGTCACAAATGAAGGGAAGTAAAAGTGACCTTCACATTCCAGATGGTTTTATGGAGGGTGAAGTTACTGTAACTATCTGAGAAACTGAATTCAAGCCTAAGTGAAACAAAATGCTAATCTCCACAGAATGTAGTAAACGTTTTTGTTCAGTGAGTGCATCAATCCTGAAATGATCTGATTTGGTTTTTTTTTGGCTGCTTGGAGTTTATTTTCCACTTGGTGCAAGGCACACGGTTCCAGGGTGTGAGGAAGGCTTTCATGTGGCTTGGAGAGTAAAGCGTGGGATCCTCTCAACTTCCTTTTGGGTGTTTTGCTATTTTGATATAAAAGAACCCAACTGTTTCTGCTTGCGGCAGCCTGCCTAGTCTATGGGGAAGGGAGGGAACGGGAGGGGAGGGGCTCTGACGAGCCTAGCGCTTCCTGAAGCCTGGCGGTGGCTACTCAGGATGGCGGCCCTGTGTTGGCTTTGCCAGGCTGGCCACCAGGCTGCTTCCTCATGGCTTCCAGAGCCAAGTCGCAGGTGATCGTGCCGGGGGAGGCCTGGGGAGATTCCGAGCGTTCTGGACACTCCAACACTGTAGCCATGAACGGGAGAGTGGACTTCCCGAAGAAGAAGCTTGCCCACCAGTGACCCGGGTCGGCCTTGGGGAGACCCGGGTGGTGAGGGATGGCTTCCCCAGCATACTCCGCACTTCCGCAGGAGCTGTTACTGGAAGTGGAGCCCAGGCGGCGCCGGTAATAGTCGTGGGTGGCCACGAGTGAGCCGCTGGAGGGGATGGCTGCCATGCTGTCGCTTGCGGGCTGGTGGAAACCTGTGCACGCAGGGGTTGGGGTGCCCCTCCGGTCACCCGCCGCCGCTCGCGAAGTGATCTGATTTGTTTTTAAATTATACTGTTAGAAGTTCACTTAAGCTGCATAAAATTCACTACAACAAGGAATTAAATCCCTTTGCGTTCAGGTTTTGTACTCACTAAAACACTGCATGTGATATATATTCTGTGTATGACACTTGGTTAGAAAAATGAAATGACATTTTTCTTAATAATTACAAAATCAACAGAAGAACCCTCACACGACGCTTTCTGTTTAGCTCTCTTTCTGGACTGTTTCCCTCTTCCTGTAGCAACTGAGGATGTCTGTAATCCTGTCTCCACAGGGAAGCAGGAAAGAATCTGAATTCTCATGACATGTTGTACTTATACCAGGCTTTGATGTGCTGATGGAAAAAGGGTTCTGTGTACAGGAACACAGGGGAACTTAAATATGAAAGCAGTCTGACTTTTTAGAAGTCGTGGTCCTAGGTTGTGTTAGAAAATAATTAAAAAAAAACCCACCCACAATTTTTTTTAAAGATGTTTTATTTTTTATTAGAAAGAGAGAGAGAGTACAAGCAGGCTCAGCAGGGAGCCCGACGTGGGGCTCGATCCCATGTCGAATCGGAATCATGACCTGGGCGGAAGGCAGCCGCTTAACCGACTGAGCCACCCAGACGCCCCACCCACAATTGTTTTTAAATTAAATTTTAAATCTGCTTTTAAATATAAGCAGAAAGATATATGATTAGAAGATTGTCCTTCAAGTAGAGAAAACTAAATTGTCCTGAAACATTAGCTAAGGATGAGCCCATCAATACAAATACTGCCTCAAAAGAAACTACAGAAACATGGTGGCATTCAGTCTGACCAGGGTAACTCTGGAGTCAAGTAGTACAAGAATACTTTGCTTTTTCAACATAATGCTTTAGGCCACAGCTGGGAATCCAGCAAAACACCTGCCTCAGACCCCATCAGAACAGGGGAATCCATCTGCCACAGCTCCACTTTTCCTGGAATCTTAACAGTATGAGATGGGAAGACAGTTCAGGGCTAAAACCGGAACCTTCTGAGGGCTTTCTTCTAACCTTGTCACTTGGCCAAACCACCCTGTTCCTTGTTTCCTTGTCCATGTTCAGTGGAGCAGGGTGGGTTGGGGAGGTAGAGTTTGATAGGAAAGGGACATTATTCCAGTTTTGTCTTAGGAAATAAAATTTTCAAGCTGTTGACGCATCATTTCCTGTCTAAAAGTCAATTATGAACTCTGTTCATGTGTTTATAACTAATTAACAAGAGAAAGGGCTCATGGGAAAAGGATGGGGCTACTGTTTATTATAAATGTTGGAGAAATCCCATGGATTCTTCATTTTCCTAACACAGTACCTGTAATTCTCAAATCATTCTGAAGAAACCAAATCTCTTAATTTCTCTTTAGTGAAAACCTTCTCCAAAGTCTCTCAGGATAGAAGGCCTACCTCCTATAAGACTGCTTTAAAGCTCTTCTTAACTCAACTAGTCCAAAGAACTTCCAATGTCATGTTGAAGACTAAGTGCTACTCAGTGGAAACATCCAACTTCTGACATTTTGTTGGGTCTACTTATAGTTGTTATTACTTTTTAAATAAACAGACTTTAGGTTTACAGATAAACAGAGCAGATAGTACAGAACGTCCTCATACACCTGTCCCCCTCCTGCCTCCCTTTCCCCCCACTGTCTCTCCTATTATTAACATTTGTTATCACGAATTAACCAGTACTAATGAAAGTCTGTAGTTTGCATTAGGGTTAACACTTTATGTTGGATAGTTCTTTGGGTTCTGACAAATGCATAATGTCATGTTTCCACCATTACAGTATCGTGCAGAAGAGTTTTATGACCATAAAAATCCCTTGTGCTCCATTTATTTACCTTCCTCCCTCCTGAACCCCTGGCACCACGGGTCTTTTTATTTTCTGTAGTTTTATCTTTTCTAGAATGTCCTACAGCTGAAATTGTACAATATATAGTCTTTTTAGATTGGTTTCTTTCACTTAGTAGTATGCCCTTTAGGTTCCTCCATGTCTCTGTGTGGCTTAATAGCTCATTTCTTTTTATTGTTATTTTTTGTTTCTTGAGTTTTTCCTTCTTTATCTCTTCCACTGGAATGAATTTAGAAATGCACATTATTTGCTGATCTTTCTTCTTTTTTGCTTTTATTTACTATTTACCCTTTTCAGATTTATGACATATTTTACCTCAAGTTTTCACCTAAGTTTTATTCCTGGCAGCTCAGGAGCAAGTCTAAAGGAGCTACCAATTTATTAACCTATACTCATGAAGAAAGAGCAGAAGAGCTTTCGTGGCCAAGCAAAAGAGACATAGGGTATGACTCTAGTGGGTCAGGATCTGGTTGCCTCAACATTAGCTAAAAAACACCCATGGTGTCATAGCATTGGATGAAAGCAAGAGAGCTGGGAAGACAGATGGTCAGTGTCATCTTGGCATTATTTAAAAATTATCAACAAGGGCGCCTGGGTGGCTCAGTTGGTTAAGCAACTGCCTTCGGCTCAGGTCATGATCCCGGAGTCCCGGGATCGAGTCCTGCATCGGGCTCCCCGCTCAGCGGGGAGTCTGCTTCTCCCTCTGACCCTCTCCCCTCTCATGCTCTCTCTCTATCTCATTCTGTCTCTCAAATAAATAAAAAATCTTTAAAAAAAAATAAAAATTATCAACAAGATTAAAAACAGAGCTGAGATAGCAAGAAGATCACCATACGTGCCAAGAGATTTCATTGCTCTTGGCACAAGCACTTTTTAAGATGTGTCAAACATAAAGGTTGTTCTTTCCAGGGAAGAGCTGAAGGAAACCCTTACCTCATATTTTCCTTTCTTCTCTAGAGGCTCTGATTCTTCAGGCTTCCAGTCTCTGTCCCCTCTGAGCTCTTCCAGGATGAGAACTGTCTCCCAATTACTATAATGACGGGCTGGGAAAATGTCTGAATGCATGCTGTCACCAAAGTAAACGACCTGTAAGTCAGATAGCAAATTCTATTTGAGACATGAGAACTGTGAAAGAAAGTGGTGTTCACTTCATGAAGCAGAAAAAAAATTCCTCAAACCGTATTAGAATAGGACGAAAGTTACATAAATATCTTAAACTTCCTTGAATACCTCACAGGTGACTGTCAACTTGCCCCCTTTGGTTTGTGGGGCACCAGGTTTGCTGTAAGAATTGACACAGTGCGTTTGCAGGCAGAAGAAAGGCAGAGGCTAACTGACTTTATTTAGTTTTCTGAAGAAGTCCGAGTCTGTATGTTTACAGTTAAGGCTGCCTTTAGAATTGAAGAACCGGTGGAGAAGTAGAGATGACTTGTTACAATGGGATATATTTGCAGGAGTACACATCACAACTGCTTTTCGAAGAGTTTCTGGGACCTACCCAGACTGGCTGAAACAATCTCTGACGGGGGTTGCGGGGGGAGGTTGGGCAAGTGGACTCTAGGAGAATCCCCAGGTATTCTGAGGCAAAGCCCCATAGATCTAATCCATACCCCTCAATTTACATTTACCTGAGAAAATGATAAGCGACTATGAACTAGAAACTCCAAGTCAGGATGCTCTATTAAACCCCTCCAGAGTTCCCAGGGGGCTATGACAATGTGGGAGTCGACGGAGAAGGCGTCGGTTACCCATTGATCTCTCTGGTAAACACTGTTTAGAAGAAGATGTCCTGCTATAAAAAATGCACCAATGGCCAACATCAACAATGTGACCAGGATATCAAAAGCAAGCATGTCTTTAGGCTAGTCTGTGGTGTAATTTCAATTAATGTCTGTTTTACGTATAAAATTTGTTTGATGAACTGTTATCAGGATATTCTTCCTCAGGTATCCCACACACTAATCCAGTGTATCCCCCTGGGACTGTGTCTCCCTGCTTGGAATCTTTGCTCTTCTCTGTTACAGATAAAGGTCCAGTCTAGATCACAGAGAGAAGGCTTATTTAAGCAGAAGAGTTTGTAAAAGACCGGCAGATAGGCAGAGGTAAATGATTTCCCCATACCTACCTAAGCTGAATGCATTTAGAAATTATGCTTTTAATTTATAATGGTTCATGTCTGCAAGTGGGCATCAACAACCCCACCTCAGTCAGAAAATACCTTGGGGTCATTTTTGCCAGTCATTTTCTTCAGAAGTTCATAAAGGTGGACAGCGTTCCCTTGAGAGTACCAGCCAGGTTTATCAAGAGATGGCAGTGCTTCCTGCTCCTCATCATTTTCTGAAAATAGAGTGTGACAATCATATACCTTTTAACCAAGTGAGAACACCCATTTGGGCAGACCACACCACACACGGCTGCGGGATATGTACAAGATGGAACCGTGTGGGGACAGGCGCTAGCATTCAGTGAGCACCTATGTTATTACAGGTCCTTTGTGGAGATCTCAATCCACAGATCTATCATTTTTCATATATATAGGGTTTTTCAAATGATCTTTTTAGAGCAGTTTTAGGTTAGCAGCAAAACTGAGAGGTCCAGAGATTTCCACTATACCCCCCGGCTCTGCACATGCATGGCCTCCCCCATTATTGGTGATAATAATGTGGCAATGTAGGTTCATCAACTGAAACAAATGTACTACTCTGTGGGGAGGATGTTACTAAGAGGGGAGGTATATATTATTTCATCCTCACAACAAACCTCTTATTTGAGGAAAAGGCGGCTCAGGGAAGTTATTTTGCTCAAGATCTCAAAGCTGGTAAGTAATTTATTATTAACCAAACTCCACAGTTTACCTTAGGACTTCAAAATGGGGCTAGAAGACCAGAGGGTAAGACAGAACCATAAACCATCTCGAAATTTGGATTCCTGGACCTGGATATGGCTCATGGATACAACTATAAACAAATACAACTATAGCAAAAGAGACATTTTTATCTGGTATCCTTCCATAATGCTCAACAATTCTCCGTTATATTAAGAATAGGTCAGCAATGGATTTAAAAAAAAAAAAAAAGGTAGACTTTAGAATGCATTTTGAACTTCATTTTATAAAGTTTATTGTTTTTACAATCTCCCTCAGATTGATAAAACAGCACTATACTATGAAAAATGCAAACCAGTATTTTCATACAAGTCAGTTATGATATGGCTTTAATTTAAAACATTCTTTTTTTTTTTGGAGTGGGTAGAATGCATTAATTTAAGAAATCATCCTATGAAAATATATATTCAGAAAAAATTTTTGTACCTAAGTTCTGTAAGATGTCCAAATTATTCCTCAAATCTTCTAACTTAATGATTAATGGATGTTTGGGTTATAACCATGAAGGAGAAAAAAACTCATACACCAAAGTTCACACTTGTTCCTGTAACATACACATTTCCCCCAAACTGACTGAATAAAATTAGGAAACAGATAAGGGTTGGACAGAGAGATGGAAGAGCAATCAATTAAAGCAATTCGTAAATCAAACTTTTTATTTTCCTATTGTAAGAGCATATGGACAAGAAAAGTAAAAACACAAAATGGTAAAATTTTAGTAAAACAGTTCCAAAATAACTATGGGGAAATGATACAGTTAAAGCTATGGCTAACAATCTTAAACAAAGGTAAGTTCTGTAACTTAGATAAGAAAATCTTGCCATAGAGAACAAGAATTTTGTTAAGAAGAGTTGTGTGCGGGCGCGTGGGTGGCTCAGTTGGTTAAGCGACTGCCTTCGGCTCAGGTCATGATCCTGGGGTCCCAGGATCGAGTCCCGCATCAGGCTCCCTGCTCAGCAAGGAGCCTGCTTCTCCCTCTAACCCTCCCCCTTCTCATGTACTCTCTCTCTCTCTCATTCTCTCTCGAAAAAAATAAATAAATAAATCTTAAAGGAAAAAAAAAAAAGAGTTGTGTGCACCTGTGCCCGACCACTGACCTCAGCCCACAGCTGCCTGAACGTGGCTTATGTGGCAGCTCACACCTGTGCCCCCAACTCCCAATATGCTTGGTGTTACTATCTTAATGTTTAAGCAGTATGCATTCGTGTGATTATTTCTGACTCGGTAATATACTTACATTTATCAAAAGTCCCATTTTTGAACTCTCTCTGCTATGCACTGACCTGTTCTACAGAAAGGTACCCACTCTTTTATGCAGATAAAGCAAATATATACTCTTTTCCTCTCCCTTTTAAAAACACATTTACTGAGGTATAACTGATAAACTGCACATACTGCCAACATACAGTGTGATGAGTTTTGGCATATGTATATACCTGTTAGGAGCTGAACTGCGTTCCCCTCAAATTCATACATGGAAGCCCTAACTCCTGGTATCTCAGAATAATTCAGATTGTGGCTGTATTTGAAGACAGGGCCTTTGAAGAGGTGCTCAAGTTAAAATGCGACCATTAGGGTGGGCCTAATCCAATATGACTGGGGTGTCCACATAAGAACTGATTAAGACACATAATTAGGTGATTAGGACACAGAAGAAAGACCCTGTGATGACAATCGGGAGAAGATGCATATCTACAAGCGAAGAAGAGAGGCCCCGGAAGAAACCAATCCTGCTGACACCTTGATCTCAGACTTCTAGCCTCCAGAAGTAAGAGAAAATATATTTCTAGTGTTTAAGCCCTCCGTCTGTGGTTTATTGCTACAGCGGCAGTCTTGGCAATTAATATTATACCCATGAACCCTCCCATTTAAATGCAAATATTGGCACACTTTTCTGCAATGTGATTTTTTTAAACTTCTCTAGATAATACATTGCAATCTGCTTTGTTTTTAAAATAGGAGCATGTTCAACAATTAATGGTCATCTATTGGTAGATATATGAGATGTTGCCATTCTTTTGTTGTTATAAGGAAAATGTTACAAACATGAGAGAATCCTCACAGCCTTGTGGGATCAAATTGACTGACCTGGAAAAAACTCATTTTCTTTCAACTCTTTATTTCAACTATATTTTACAGAACACTTTAGGTATGAGGTATATAGCAGTGAACTAGATGGCCCAAGTCCCTGTCTTTAGGATGCTTATATTCTGGTAGCAATCTCTGACTTGCTAGAGGTTTACTAAACAATGACTTATAGTTAAAAATATATTTAGAATTCTTTTGATTCCTTGAACTCCTTCCTATATTATGTGGACCTGAGTGGACAGTGCATATTTACTTTTATATATCCCTTCATTTTTGAGTTAGAATTTTTTCCTCCAATTGTGCATTTTTATACACACTTGCTCCACTTCTTTTTTTTGGGGGGGGGCATGGGCAATGAGACATTTTTTAAATGTTTTTTTTAAAGTTTATCTTTTTAAGTAAGCTCCAGGCCCAATGTGGGGCTTGAACTCATGGCCCCGAGATCAAGAGTCACCTGCTTTACCCACTGAGCCAGCCAGGTGCCCCCAATAAGACATTTTTAAAGTAAAATGTCTGCTAAAATGCTTGTCTGTGTTGGGAGCCATAAAAAGGAAATTACATATTAAGAGAAATAAATACCAGTGAGTTGGAGCAAATTTAATAGAATATCTACTCATCTACTCTGTTTTGAGGGTTTACTATTCATTTGATATTCCTAATTCTTTAATAACTAATAGCAGTTAATTCAAAGACTTTTTTCCTTTAGTTTAAATATTTTTTTTTTTTTAAGATTTTATTATTTGTCAGAGAGTGAGTGAGAAAGCACAAGCAGGGGGAGTGGTAGGCAGAGGGAGAAGCAGGCTCCCCAGTGAGCAATATTCTTGACTACCTAGCTCGTTTCCATACCTAATATGCTGGGACGTTTATTTCTTTTCACAATAACAATCTTCAATTAACTGCACTAAGACATTCTCTCTTGGGGTTACTAAAATCTGTCATTGGTGATCTGACCAGTAGCATCTGCCTCACCAGAAAATTTGTTTAGAATGCAGAATCTAAGGTTATACCCAGACCTACTGAATCAGAATCTCCATTCTAACAAGATTCCTAGGCGGTGTGAGTGTACATTATAGTCTGTGAAATACTGATGTATTTCCTGAGAGAACAGCAGGAACAAAAACCCGATAGAGGAATAGAAGGTGTTCATTCTGGCAAGAATAGACTAATGGGCATCTCTGTAGGGAGCAGACAGAGTGAAGATGAAAAGGTAACTTAGCAACCAGATTTTGGAATTTGCCTTAGGATGCTACATGGAGTGGGGAGCCAAGGAGAGTCTGTGTGCATGTGATTAACTACACAGTATGCCTAACAGTAATAAGTGAATTACATAAAATATATTTAAAGGAAGTGACAAGTGGAAATCTGTGCCAAGTATCTGAGGGCAGCGGGCAAGACATGTAGGGAAGGAGAGGTACTGAGTGAGGGCAGGGGGAGGAGTTAAGAGACTCCTAGGGGAGAGAGTGATGCCGGCCTGATGGGAAGGGAGAAGAGAGCAGACATGAGGCGGTTTAAACAGGAGGCGGTGCACAGCATACTGGATGTGAAAGGGGAAAGAGACTGGAGGTTTGTCGCTAGGGGCAATTCAGTGGATAGTCAAGTAATGAAGATAAAGAATATAAACCGGCCAGCATGTTAGGTTGTATTGTTTCTATCAAGTTTGATTTCAGAACACTGAGTAGTGCTAGCTGTGTGCAGGAGGAAATACCGTATGAGGCTCTAGAAAAGAGGTCTCAGGGAAAGATTTGGGAGTCAGTGTGTTGGTGATAGTTCAGGTCAAGAAACCAATGACAGAGAGTTGGGTCGTGATTCCCAAATTGGGGGCGGGGGGAGGGGTACCTGGCAGCACTGGGGACACAGCAGTGAAAAAGATATGGTCGCTCTCCTCAACGAATTTACAATCTTGCAAGATGGACTCCTCTCCCCCGACCCCAGCCAGGCCTTAGCACTGGTGAGGAGCTGAATCCCCCACTGATGGGGAGGGATGCTGCACATTTTGCCTAGAAAAGGCTCCTTGCCCCCCAAACAATCCTTAAGCAGGGTTGGTAAGGGTCAGCCTGGCAGGAAGCACTTGGCTCCCACCAACTCGGGCACAACGCTCCCCTTCTTGTCTCTATGACAACGGCTAACGTCAGGCCTGTGCGACAGTGGCAAGGACACCCTGCCCTTGAGGACTGGCTCACCCGGCGCCTTCTATCCCAGAAGCTCCTTTGCCTTACTTTTACCTCTGCCTTTAATCCATTTGGAGCAGTGATTTGATTTACATGACACTGGAGGCTGTAAGAGCCGACTGACATGACTTGCATGGTACAATAACATTAACTGCCATATGGAGGATGGTTTGAAGGTTACAAGGCTGATGGAAGCTGGGAGATCAGTCAATAAGTACTGTCATACCCAGCAGCGATGGGAGTGTAGCAGTTCACACAAGGGATGATAAGGGCGGTGGCAGGAATGTGGTAGGTAGGTGACCAGACCGAGAACACTGAAGGACAGGTTAGGATGTGAAGGGGAGATAGGAAGAGAAGATGATGGATTTTCCTAGCTTGGGCAAGATCCTTTGGAAAAGTTATAATGGAATTACGGAGTATGGGAAGAGGAGCATGCCAAGATGGGAGGGGAAATTAATGAGTTGTTAAAAGCACATCAGGTTTCCTGCAACGCCAGGGCTGCAGGGTGTGGAGAATTTCGAAATACGCCTCTGTAAGTCAGGGAAAAGTGACGCAGAGATAAGGAATTGGGAGTCATTAGTATATAGGTGATAGCTGAAACCAACAGAGCGGTAGGTAGCTGAAGAAAGGAGGGTTAATACGAAAACCTGCAATAAGAACTGTGATACAATGGATATTAGTTCCAAACTGACTAAAAACTAATGGGGATACTTTTATAAAAATATGAAATGAAGTATACTTTGACACTAATACTGAGGAAAAAATCTGTTAGAGAAATAGGTTTGAAGCTTGGAAAATATACCGGACTGCAGTATACAGGACTGGGATCAGGCTTTTCTCTGGTTACTCTTCAAAGGAATAAATTGTCTTAAACATAATGAAAGACTTTTCTTTTTGTGGAAATCAGTGAATTCAACGATGATCAACAATTTTTTCCTTTACTATTGTTAACAATTCTTAGAAAATTACATATTGATTTAGAAGCTAAATTTGTGTTAATGCTGTTTATTGACAGCTGTTATTTAACTACACAGTTTCATTTGTGTGAAAATATTTTGATAACCTTTGTATTGATTTTGAGCTCAGTCAATATTTTACTGCAATAAAATATCTTAGTAGAGCGAGAGAAAGGTGAAGGGAAACCAGCAGTGGAAACAATTAGAGGTAGGCAAAGAATCAGAATCAGCACCAAAATGAACACTACAACAGAACATCATGAATGAGAGATTCTTTAATATTAGTATGATCCTCTTATTAATAACAGTTCTGGCAATCTTATTGCTCTCAAAATGGGAATAAAGTATTTTGTGTTAACTCTAAAAACTGCAGGATTCATTGCATCTTCCACTGAAATATTTTAAATCGGAGGCCCCGAAAATTAGAGCTAGAAAGAACTTTAGAGATCTTCTAGTCTAATCACTTCTGGGTGTGAAAAAAACAGAGGCAAACTTTTCTATGTATCTACAGGAAAAGCATGAAATCCCATATATTCTTGAGCAGACAGCAGAGATGAGGCGGTTTAAACAGGACGTGATGCACAGCATAGTGGACGTGAAAGGGGGAAGAGACTAGAGGTTTGTTGCTGGGGGGGCAATTCCGTGGATAGTCAAGTAATGATGATAAAGAATATATAAGGTAGCCAGCCTGTGTGCAGTGTTTTGAAGAGTTCACTGGAGGCCATGGAGCCAGTGAGTGTAGACAACTCTTTCTAGAATTCTAGCTGTGAAGGTACTCAGAGAATTGAGGTTTTAGCTGGAAGACAATGTAGAATCAGGGCATATTTTATGTTTTTTTAAGCTGAAGATACGAGAATATGCATATATATCAATGAGAATGGTCGAGACAGTTGTTTTCGACTGTGGCAGTTTTGCTGCTCAGGGCAAATTTGGCAATGTCTGGAGACATATTTGGATGTCACAACTTGGGATGTGGGATGCTACTGGCATTTAGTGATTAAAGGCTAGTGATGCCGCTAAGCAGCCTACAACACACAGAAGGGGACCCCTACTACCAGTAACAAAGAAGAACCTGACCTCAAATCTCAGAAGTGCTAAAGTTAAGAAACCCTGATCTGGGAGAAAGGGAGAGAGTGATGGTATTTTTTTATATGTTGGTTTAATGTCTCCTATAAATCTCTGATGTTAAGAAATAACCTGTTATTGGAGATTCAAATAATACTCTGTGTTAAACAAACAAAAAATTCTAGAGGGGAGGAGGGTGGGGGGATGGGTTAGCCTGGTGATGGGTATTAAGGAGGGCACGTTCTGCATGGAGCACTGGGTGTTATGCACAAACAATGAATCATGGAACACTGCATCAAAAACTAATGATGTAATATATGGTGATTAACATAACAATAAAAAATTAAACAAACAAACAAAAAAACTAAGTATTTCCCCTTCACAGAGATTTTTTTTTAAGATTTTATTTTCAAGTAATCTCTACACCCAATGTGGGTTGAACTCACAACCCCAAGATCGAGAGTTGCACGCTTTATGGACGGAGCCAGCCAGGAATTTTCAGTAAAATTTCACACATACACCAGTAATGGAAAACAACGCACATTAAAAATATGCCAAATTTTCTTTAACATATTGGAGACCACAAATGCATGAACTTATGCTAACAAGTTACTGCATTTTTTGCACTGTATCTGTTTAATTGAAAAGTATCAAGAGATAGAAGGATGAACTGTTTAAAAACTATTATGTGGAAGTACCTATCTACAATCTGGTTTCTATCTCCATCATTCTCTCTGCATTTGATCTCATATAAGCCCATGGCTCGAAAATATCCTCTGAGCTGATGACTCCCCCAAATTTATATCCTGAGCCTAAAGCTGTTCCCTTGGATTCCATGCTCATTTATACAAATTCCTAATTGTTAGTCCCAGCTGAATAACTTAAAGGCATTTCAAGATTAACATGTTGAAAATGATTTCTTAATACCTATAGCCCCCACCCCATAAAAACTTTTCCTCTGTGTTTTTCCTCATGGCTATAGAGAGTACCACCATTCACCCATTTGCTCAATTCAGAAAAAAGAAAAATCAACAAGTCATTTTTGATTACTCTTTTCATCCTCTGCTTCTGAAGCATCAGCAAGTCCTGTTTTCATCTCCACAGTGCATCTTAAACATGTCTACTTCCCTCCATCTCTAGTACTACCTCCTCAGACCAAACCACCACACTCTCTCATTTGGGACACTCAGTGCCTATCTTTCCCACATTCGATCCATTCCCCACCTCGCAGCCAAAGAGCTCTCCGTGTTACTCTTACACCTCAACTGAATAGCTTCTCAGAGCTTGTGGAATAAAATTCAAACCCGTTTCCACAGTGTATGAGGCTGCCTGCCTCCCCAACTTCCTCTCCTCTCTCGCCCTGAATCACTGGCCTCTTCTCTGTCATTGGAACTCGCCGAAAGTACTCCCACACTGGGCCTGTGCATTTGTTTGTCCTGCTGCCACTCTTCCTCTGCTCTTCTCATTACCGGTTCCTCACGTCCTGCCTGGTAAGTGTCTGGACAGGCCTTCCCTGGTCAACAGATCTAAGGTGTCCTCCTGGTTTACCTCATCAGGAAGTCATTTCTTTTCATGATGGCTAACACGGCCTGAGGCCTATAATCATCCCCACGCATTTACTGACTTGCTCAATGTGTTTATGTATTCCTGTGAGGGGAAAGAAGACTTGGTATCACTTTTATACCCCTTGTTATATTTAACATAGTACTTTGCACATGGTTGTCAGCCAACAGGTATTTATTAAGTAGCTGAATGAACAAATCTTAAATAAGAGAAGGAAGAAACAAATGTTAACTTACCAAGTGTCCAGAAAGGTCTCTGACTTGGTAAATGGGAGAAGAAACCAGGCTTCAATGCATTTGTAATCACAATGTCAAAAAGATCTGTAAAATCGTTCCTAAAAAGCAACAGTATTTGTCATAATTTTAAGGAATTAGAAAAAGTCCATATAAAATAGAACTTAATCTTTACCTGACCACAGCATCGTTTATCTTTTGATTAACTTTTATATGCTTTCTCTATATTTTATATGTAGAAATAGAAGGTGGTTGAGTACTACTCTTCTGACAACACCTTGAAATATAAACATAAGGGGGAAAAATGCACATTAACTCATTAACTGGGTCTAAGCTGGCCTTCTCGTGATGGTAATAGTTATAGTGAATGAATTCAATAGCTTCTAACAACAAAAATATTCACAAACTAGGTCTTCAAATGTGGGGCCTGAACTCTGGATTTATTAGCATGAAGCTATTAATAATTTTGTACGTTACATGGATCCTACAAAAAGCTACCATCTTATCAAGTCAGGGGACATCTTTTAGAGTGTTCAAATATGAAGAAGATACGTTATTTTGAAAATCAGTGTAATCTTACAATGAGGTAATTTTTAGATAACAATAATCGTTTTTTAGTCTGTATTTAATACTATAATAGGGATCATTTGGGATGGCAAAGGAAAGATGGGACTCACCATAGCATTGGGGGAGATAATATTTGCAAATCTAAACTACACTGAAGAGAAAATTAAGATAGGAAGAAAAACTTGGGTTTTCTATGCAAATGAAAAAGAAAGTAAGAGTGCTTATTTTGAAGCATGGTCCCACTATCAGGACAGCAAATAGAGTCTCACGGTCAAAGAGGCACCGTGCAGGGCATCCAGGACTCCTGCCTTAATTCACTCCAAGGATCCCAGGCCTACGTATTATTCAGAAAGCAGAAAATCCCACTGGTAGGTCGTAAATATACCACAGCCCAATCTAAACCCACATGTGCTGAGGAACATGGACATCAGGAGGCTAAAGAAGTCAGCCAGAGGTCAGTGTTGACGGTGAAATTTGCTTCATACTCAGCAATTTGGTATTTGCTGAAATCTGAGGAAACGTTGGGGGGGATCTAACAGCCCATTTTACAATCTGGCTCTGACCATGGATATTCCCTGGTATTGCTCACAAGAATGACATAAATAAATGACACTTACTGAAACTTACCAACTACTCGCATACTTTACCTGTGCTACCCTATTTAAACTCCCCACTCAACACCTATGAGGTATGACTGTCCCATTTTCAAGATGATGAGAGCGAGGATGAGAGCGGTTACAGAACATACCTCAGGTCTCAGAGTAGGTTGCAAGGTCGGGCTTGAACCCATGTCTGTCTGAAGTCTGTGCATTTATACTGCCTCAATTTTCGTGGATGTCAGTCTCATCCCTGGCTGTGCTGAATGGCGGAGTAACAGCTCCACACCGAAAGGACCAGAGGGGTGGTACTCCAGGCAGGTGTCAGGGAGTGTAATCCACAACTCAGTGGCCCTCAGTAATCATCCGAAGCCGAGAAGCCGAATTCACGGAGCACCGACTGAAGGACATGTTGTCCATAACCTCTCAGAACCTCTAAAGTCCAGACCATTAGCGGGCTATGGGCATACTGGCCCCAGTAATACTGCTTTGCTGAACTGTACTTGGGGGGTGTTGCCATTGGCAGATGTTGAGAAACAGCCACTGGTCACTCAGCATTGTCTAACATGAGGCTATGGTCATGGGCGAGCACTTGTAAAGCAGCACCAGCCTCATTTGTCATCAGTATTTTCTAAGACCACAAAAATGGAAGGACTCATCACTTACCCAAGAATATATTCACAGAGAAGCCGACAGTAATCACTGTGAGAACTTGTAATTAACAAGAGAATTTTCCCAGCATTCTTGAGCTGTTGGAGCCACTTTTTTACAGATTCAGGACAAGTGTGTAAATATCTGCCTGGATCTCTTTTTATTTCTGGAAAATATATTCCACAGTTTTCTGAAAAATAAAAATGTCAAGGAGATTTTTCTTTAAAAAAATTTTTTTGACTCAGTGTATTCTCAAATCAGTTCATCTCTCTCAAAGCTACAGATAAAATTAAAAGGAGAAAAACTTGGTTCAGACATAGCAATGATGCCGTTATTAACTGCTTCTTAAGAATACTTCCTGTTCAACACGTAAAAAAGTGCGCAACGTCGCTCGGCATCAGGGAAATCCAAATCAAAACCTCATTAAGATACCACCTCACACCAGTAAGAATGGCTAAAAATTAACAAGTCAGGAAACGACAGATGTTGGCGGGGTTGCGGAGAAAGGGGAACCCTCCTACACTCTCGGTGGGAATGCAAGCTGGTGTATCCACTCTGGAAAACAGCATGGAGGTTCCTCAAACAGTTGAAAATAGAGCTACCTTACGACCCAGCAATTGCACTACTGGGTATTTACCCCAAAGATACAAATGTAGGGATCCGAAGGGGTACGTGCACCTCAATGTGTATAGCACCAATGTCCACAATAGCCAAACTGTGGAAAGAGACAAGATGTCCATCAACAGATGAATGGGTAAAGAAGATGTAGTGTGTGTATATACACACACACACACACACACACACACACACACACACACACACACAATTGAATATTATGCAGCCATCAAAAGGAATTGAAATCTTGCCATTTGCAACGACGTGGATGGAACTAGAGGGTATTATGCTGAGCGAAATAAGTCAAGCAGAGAAAGACAGGTATCATATGACCTCACTGATATGGGGAATTCTTAATCTCAGGAAACAAACTGAGGGTTGCTGGAGTGGTGGGGGGTGGGAGGGATGGGGTGGCTGGGTGACAGACATTGGGGAGGGTGTGTGCTATGGTGAGTGCTGTGAATTGTGCAAGACTGTTGAATCACAGATCTGTACCTCTGAAACAAATAATACGTTGTATGTTAAAAGAAAAAAAAGAAGATAGTAGGAAGGGGAAAATGAAGGGGAGGAAATCAGAGGGGGAGACGAACCATGAGAGACGATGGACTCTGAGAGACAAACTGAGGGTTCTAGAGGGGAGGTGGGGGGGATGGATTAGCCTGGTGATGGGTATTAAGGAGGGCACGTACTGAATGGAGCACTGGGTGTTATACGCAAACAATGAGTCATGGAACACTACATCAAAAACTAATGATGTAATGTATGGTGACCAACATAATAAAATAAAATGAAAAAAAAAAGAATACTTTCTGTTCTTTCCTTAAGAACATGATGACAGAATGCCAGTTGAGAATGGCTGTTGGTTATTTGATAGGAACTGATAAACTGTTAGAACAGATAACATAACACAACATGATCAGTTTTAAATCAGAGAAAACCTTACAGCATTTGAAATGTCAATGAATAAATATTCTTTCAATCATTCAACAAATTATTTGCTGAATACAAATGACAAATAAATATTCAGACAATGCACCAGAAAGGTGTTGTTGGCGTGAAGCAACCGAGAGGGCAGCTGGGTTCCTCAGTCACAGGAGAGTTTCAGATGGAACTCAGACCAGAAAGTCAGTCTAGCACAGCCTCTGAGAGGTGCTGGGATGTCAAATGGAAAAGGCCAGAAGGCACTGCACGGACAGCAAAAGCTGACGGGCTTCTCATCTCCGAGGTGCGCCTGCTGGCTCTGCCCCTCTGAGTCTTCAGAGCCAACAGGGGTCGGTCTGAGCTCTGAGGCAGATGCTGCCAAGACCTCCAGAAGTTCTGGTCAGACGCACCCGCACTGCTGGACATGGTGCCTTCAAAGTCGTGTGTACTTAGCAGACAACCGCAGATTTGCCTGAAGTGCTACTAGATTCATAAAGTACTTTCGAGATACTATTCTCTGGGGGCTAGCACTAATAAAGCAGATAGAGAGAACCCAAGTTCCTGCTTTCTTTAAACTGCTGAGGAAAGGACACAAGCATAAACAAAACCACAGGAGAGAGAGCTTTGTAATGGACACGAAGCTCTATCACAAATAAGGGCTGTTCCTGTAATTCTGCACAGTCTCATGCACTTAAAATAACAGCGATGAAAGTAACATTTCAAGAATACCAGGAGAAAGAAGAGTCTCTAAGCAAAAATACAAATGCAACAAAACCAGAAATGGTAACAAACACTGTTGTCTGCTTGCCCAAATCCACCCTCCCCCCTTCTTCTCTGCTGGAGATACTGATTTTCTTTGAGGCTTCATCCTCCTCTGAGGGGCTGGGTACTCAGGGAGGGCATGGGTCTCTGTCAGTCTAAACTGTCATGGGAATTCCTTCCCCCTGCCCTGGATTGTTTAGGAAGTCCCAGAGACCCAGGCCTGGCCAACGGGACTGAGAACTCTGCTGGGGGTCTCTGGAGTCCTGTACCAAGGCGGAGAAGAAATCTACATAGCAGAGTATTCATCCCCTCTTCCACCCTGGACTTGGCTCACACATCCTGCCTAGAACTGCAGCAGCCATCCCTAGCACAAAGCCCAAGTCTGACAGAACCAAGATGGCCAAGTGGAAATCTGAAAGGAACCTGGGTCCCCGATGACCTCATTAGATCTCTAATTAAGAGACTGAATTCACTAACCACCGCTGAACATCCCCCCCCCCCCCACTGTGGACTTCTGTCACATAACTCAATTTAACAACAGCTTAAAGGATATCTATTATTTGCAGCCTACAGCATCTCTATTTGGTATCTATTTGGAACCCGATATACTGCAAGTACTAATCACAACCAGACCAAAAAAACAAAAAACAAAAACAAAAAACCATGTTACAATGTAAGAATAATACTCAGACATCAGGAGACCGAGAACAAAAACAAAGTCCATGCTCTTCTTGTATTCTGCCCTACAGGAACGCTGTGTAAATCCCTAGGATCTCTTAAGATCGTACAACTAAGTAGTGACCCTTAAAAAAAATCTGTTTTTCAAAGAAGGTACTAGTAAGAAAGGGCTAATTTAAGAAAGAGAAAATAATAAAATCAAATAGCTAAACAGAATAGTTTGAGGAATGACTATCCAAATAAATGGCAGAGGCTGAGTTTCTCAGAATTTATTACACCTAAGGGAGTCATATGTGAAATTCTTTCACCCAGAAAAACAAAGCTTTTGTAGCAATAGAAATATTATGGGACAGATAACAAAAGATTTGTTTATATAGTGCTGAAAACATTTACATACTTAAGTGTCTGTTTTCAGAACCAGCTGCTGAGAAAAGGCTATGTTTTCCATAGCCATATGTGTTTAGTGCCATTTAGTCATCAAAATATAAATTACTGCTACAAAACTATTCCATTTCCAAATGAATAAAAAAATAAAGCACATACATTTAAATACTGTATCTGAAATTCTTGCCTAAATTGGTTTTATCAGTTTTCTTTAATAAACAATCCAAAAGCGTGCACACATAATACTTTAGTAAGAGAACATTATTCCCTGAGGCAATAATATGGGTGTTCTCATTTTGTTCACAAGCCACATTAAAATGAATTAAATCTCCAAGTCCTGTACAAACAGATACCCAATGATAGATTATGGGTTGCTCTTATTATAAATGATCACTGACTACTGGGGAATATATTTTCATTCTCTTATAACCTCAAATCATGACAGGAACAGATATAATTACACAAGTACACACTCATCTTTTTTAAAATTTATTTTTATTGAGATATAACTGATACAGCATTGTGTAAGCTTAAGATGTACAATGGGTTAATTTGCTATATTTACATATTGCAATTTTTTTTAAAGATTTTATTTATTTATTTGAGAGAGAGAATGAGAGGGGGTAGGGTCCGAGGGAGAAGCAGACTCCCTGCTGAGCAGGGAGCCCGATGCGGGACTCGATCCCACGACCCCAGGATGATGACCTGAGCCGAAGGCAGTCGCTTAAACCAACTGAGCCACCCAGGCGCCCCTACGTACTGCAATTGATTACTACCCTAGTGTTTGCTAATACCTCTATGATTTCTTTTCCTTTTTTGTGGTGGGAACTATTAAGATCAAGTCACTTAGCAATTTTGAAGTTTATAGTATAGTACTGTTGTGTATAATACAGACTCATATTTTTATTGAAATAAATCAAGCTACTAAATCAAAGGAGTTAGGGTGAACATACTACACTGGATTATAATTGTCAATTAAATTATCTCCCTGAAGTGACTGTAAACTCCTAAAGGAAGGGAGCCTGTCTTTCGGCTTGGCATGGAGCAGTCACTCAGTGAATGACCACTTAAATTAGTGTGGGGGCAGAAACGTGAATATTTATGTTTACTTAAAATTAAAGTAATAATATCACTTGTAACATATAACCTGCGACAACAAACTATATTATTCATGCCCTGTCAAAGTCATCCTATCTAGAGTACCTTCTGTTTTTTTTACCCCTATTGAAAAAAATAATCGTGTTTAATTATATTCTTATACTGATAGGTTAACATTGACTGGACAAGACAGGGAATTTAGACCTAAGGCAGAAAGAAAGGAATGGTCTTGTTTGTTGTCAACTCACAAAGTAGCCTGTGTTTTCACCTAACTTCAAAGGAATTCTATTTCAGGGCCACTTTATGTAACTCATTTTCCTGGCCTTTCCACCCCACCCTCTTATCTCCTTAGACGCTGGTATTTTCTGTATCCAGATGGGATTAAAAGTACATTTTTTTTAAAAAGCTAGTTCTAAGAAGTTAACCTCTCTTATATTAAACCTTGGTTAATATAGTCATGAAAATAATAGCAAAGTGTTGCAACAGTTTGACATGCACATAAACTGGCCTGCAGGTATCAAAATGTGACTGAGGATTTAGGGACCTCCTGTGGTTAAAAAAAGAAGTACAATTTGAATATTAAAAATATACTTTTTAATTTTAACAGACAATTGTGCCACATCACTCTTTCTATCGTCACGGAATAAGTAAGCATTTTTTCTTGTTAACTGTGTCACTACTGTTTGTGTGATTTTGTGGCTGGAGTTTTCAACGCTCTTGGCCACGGGGATAGAGATGCCAGGATGCCAACACATCCACCACCAGACTCCAACTAAGGTCTGTTGTTTCTACAGAAATGTTTACAACCTTTACAAGTTATAGAACAGCATGCTAGTGAACAGCTAAAATGTTTATCTCTAAACTGTTTAAACGTACTTGCTGACATTGAGATGACAGAGATGACAGAATGAATTTTCTGAAATATACATACATATATTTTATTTTGGGCCAAGTGATACTAAAATATTTTTTGAAGGATGAGATAAGCGATAGGTTAACTATGTTCTAAATTACTTTTATTTTCAGAGGGCAAAAAATGAAACAAATTTAATATTAGGACAGATTTCCTGTTTATGGTCCCTATATGGTTTGCTTCTATCTAATATATTTGTAAGTAAAGAAATCTAGAATATCTAGATGGAATAAAGTGAAAATCTACATGCTAAATATAATGCTTGGAAAAGGACAACACATAAGAATTGGAAAATGAAGTATACAATATATTGAAAAACATAATTTATAAAATTTATAGTATGTGACTTCTATCTCCGTATTTGTGCCCTACTCAAAAGATTCTGATTTAATTGGTCTGGGCTGGGGGGGATGACACTGGTATTTTTTTAAAGCTCCCCAAGTAATTTTAAGGATTACTGTTCTAAGATCTAAGAACTAGAACTCTTGCTATTATTACCTGTATATCCTGCCTGCTGCACTGTATATCATAGGCTCTCAGAGGACTAGGGCTTCTTAATTCTCCATTACTTTATCACCTAACAGAGCCTTGTACATAATAAGCAGTCCATATCAGTTGCTGTTGATGTGTGATGTCACGCGCAGGCATGAACACTGCATCAGATCTTGTCTCATAGAGAGAAAGCTTGTGGGGGGGGGCAAGAATGAAGAGAACGGGAAGGATATGAGGGCTGAACACTGAAACGCAAGAATACAGACAGTGCTAAGGAAGATTGGCTTGGTCCATTTGACCTGATAGGGGAACAGAGCAGGTAGTAGGTTATGATGTCTTAACCCGTGATGCCCAAACGTGGGAGCACGGTGAAGGCTGTTGAGCACGCTCAACAAACATCCATTCCCGTGCCCCTGGCCAATCAGACATTCGCAAACCTTTGAAATAGGTGGCTGGGACGGACCATTTTGATCTTAGTCTATACCTGCATCTACACCTTCATGGTGATGTCATAGCCAGAGAACTTTCGTCACAATGAACTCCCATTTCCACAGCGTCTCTCCTCCTCTGATACGTATCTCTGCTTTATGTATACAATCTTTCCCAAAAAGTGATTTCAAGGAGTCTTTCAATTCTTTCAGGACTCAGGTAGAGTAGTGATTCTCAAGCTTTAGGGTATGTTAGAATCACCCAGAAGGCTAGCTGAAACACCCCCAGATTCAGTATGTTTGGGTGGAGTTTGAAAATGTGCATTTCTAACAATTTCCCACACCAGCTGATAGTCCTTAGTATTTAAGTATTACTGCTGTAGAAAACCCTTATTTTCTACACTTTTAAGTATTTTGAGTACTACTTTAAGTATTTTAAGTATTACTGCTTTAAGTATACTGCTTTAAGCATTACTGCTATAGAAAACCCTTATAAAACCACAGAGTTTTTAAAAATACTTTTTCTCCTAGAAGAACTTGATCCTATTTTGGCTGAAAGTGCAAAATCAGAGTAAGCATGTTTAATGTTACCTGATGAAAATGAGACCTGTGTCTTACGTTAAAATGAATCTAAACTAACAAGGTTTTAAGTTTTTAAAAATTATTTTTACTTCTTATAATGGAAAGATATATTCAAGGGTGAATATCTGATGGGATTTTTTTCATCCATTTATCCATCACGAGTGTAATAATTTTGCAGGTAAAGCAGAAAAGCCCACACGTTGGAGTTGGACTGGTCTAAGTCTGAATTCCAGATCTGCCACTTACTATACTGGTTGCGTGATTTTTTATTTTTGAAGATTTTATTTATTTGACAGAGAGAGACACAGCGAGAGAGGGAACACAAGCAGGGGGAGTGGGAGAGGGAGAAGCAGGCTTCCCGGGGAGCAGAGAGCCCAGTGCGAGGCTCGATCCCAGGACTCCGGGATCATGACCTGAGCCGAAGGTAGACGCTTAATGACTGAGCCACCCAGGTGCCCCTGGTTGCATGATTTTTGAGGAAGTCTAGAAGCAGAGTTAATTTTTAGTAAATCTCATTATAACTGGAGGGACGTTTTCATGTTCTCCTGCATGTTCACTTTACTGTACATATCATATCCCAGGAAAAGATGTGCAGGGACTGAGTTCCCAAGATGGCTGCAGCAGCCTTTCCCACTTCACACGTGTCTGGAGTTGGGAGTTGACCACGCCAATCCTTTGAATGTGGGCAGGCCTTTTATTGCTTTGACCAACAGAATGTGGGACAAGCGACACTATGTTAGTTCCAGGTGTGGCCCTTAACTGGCTGGAAACTCTAACTTTCTGTCTCTTGGAAGCCAGTGCCATGTAAAAACCGCAACCAGTCTGAGACCACCATGCTGTGAGGAGCAAGTCAGATGAACTTAAGTGTCGGGGCTCTAACTCCCAGAACTATGAGTGCGCCCCCTTAGACATCCAGCCTAGTCAAGCCTTCGGATGACTGCGTTCCTGCAACCACCTGGGAGACACCAAGTGCAAAGCATCCAACTCAGCCCAGAATATCAGTGACAATAACAAACTCTAAGGCTCTAAGCTACTACATTTTGTGGTGGTTTCTTACGGAGCAATAGAGAACCAGAACAAGATGCTTAGGAAAAGTGTCACAATTCCAATTTTTCTGTCCATGCAATTCAAGATATATGAAGAAAAAATTCACAAATGCTTCTAGAAATATCTGAAATAAAAGTAAATAGCTCTAAATTGTTCACCTCCAAAGAATAACTCAAGGGTTTCTTTTGTGTCTGTCTTTACAAAACATAAATACATGTACAGCTTTTGTTAATATACATCTTTTGAATGGTTTAAATAAAACTAAAATTACCAAGTATTTAAGGCAAATTCTACATAGCACTTCTGACTTTTCACATACTTCAGATGTGAGCTACTTAGAAACTGAGACAGTAAAAACCAGTTGCTGAAATATATACAGATTACAACAGAAAAAAAAATTGAGTCTTTTGAGATATTTTTCCCCCATTAACCTCAAGTCAAAAACATTCAAGGTTTCTTCAAAAGACAGATTGGTCTTCAAAGAAACATGCATTGTAAAGACTGTATTGTATCACAAGGGTGCACTGTTTCCTTCATTACTTTAGCTGAAACATCCCGTGTCTTCAGAAATACCTTTTCTTACTAATAAAGCCGAAAGTATGCAGAACTAAGACTAACTAGGAGGAACTCAACTTCTGAACACACATAAGGATTATAGTCACAAAGAATTACTGGTTCAGTATCTTATCTCACAGGGTCTGATACAAACAGGGAAGCCTTGCTAGAGGTATTAAGTCTCTGCCACATCTGCACCCAGGACCCCTAGAACTTGGAGAAGCAGTTCTTTTCATGAGGTGTTACTCTGTTTTCCACCACACATTTCCACCCAAATTGGGCCTGCATCAGTCGTATCCTCTGTTTTTGTAAAATGCCACCTGGCCAGTTACTCCAAGGTGATTAAAAATAAATAAATAAATAAATAAATAAATAAAAGGAAAAGAAAAGAAAAGCAAAGGGAAAAAATACTAAAGTTTTAAATTAGTGAGCCATTTTAGTTCCGATAATTATTCTGGCAGAGGTTGTACTTTTGTAATATAAAACTTGGAATTATGGACGATGAGATAGAAAAGTGTTAATATCTAATATAGCAAACACAACTACATAGGATCTATGTGTAATATTCTGCAATACTGCTTAAGGAGTCTTGAGGAATAATAATGCCCTACATCAGAATTCTTTTCTTAAGATTTATTTCTTCATTTGAGAGAGAGAGAGAGGGAGAGAGAATGTGCACAAATGGGGGGAGGGGCAAAGGGAGAGGGAGACAAGCAGACTCACTGCTGAGCAGGGAGTCTGATGTGGGGCTCAATTCCAGGACCCCGAGATCATGACCTGAGCCAAAATCAAGAATCAGACGCTCAACCTACTGAGCCCCCTACCCACCCCCAAGACCAGATTCTTAACCCATCGTACATACATGGGCTTCAGTGGGTGAAGGAAATCCTAACACTGTAACACGGTGCCCCTCCCTGTATGTGTGTGCGTCTGAGGGAGCAGAGCAGGTTCATGTGCTCTAGTTTACATCAGATTCCTGGGGCTGGGGACACGTGACTCCTGCGAAGTTAAGAACCACAGATTTAGATTTCCCAGACGAGAGCAGTCCAATAAAAAAAAGAAGCATTCAATATGCCCTTTTGTCATTGTTGAGAGAAATCTTATACCTAGGTCTTAGAAAAAAGGGGACTCTCTCTAATAGTTGATAGAGAATTTCTACACAAATAAATATAATTCCTGGACCACCCTGTACTTTGTTACATGTATAAAGTCCAATCAACTTACATTTATTTAGGGTGGCTAAAGTATTGTTCTTATTAATTTGTAGGTTGAAATGACCAAATGTACAATATGTAAAAACATATATAAAACAATACTCTTTAACGTTGAAACTACACTGATGTTGAAAACATTATTTAAAGAGATTAAACTATTGATTTTAAAAACGATACATTCTTGGTATAGAAAATTCACTGTATTGGGTTTTCTACGGCTGTATAAAAAACCAGCTCACACATAGCGGTTTACTAAAAACAGCAGTATATTATCCTACCTCGTGGTTTTGAGGGTTGACGGAGTTCAGCATTCAGCAGGGGGGCTCTCACTTGGGGGGTGTGTCAGCCAAATGTCACTGGGTCTGGACTCATCTAAGGATTCTTCACCGGCTGTCTGGCCCCTGGGTTGGGGTGGCGGGGAGAAAGAGGGCTGGCGGACCGCCTTTCTCCTCAGCTAGCCTGGGCTTTACCACAGCATGTCAGTCTCGGGGTAAGCTGGACTTGCCCCAAAATACTAAAGTAAAAGCTGCAAGGACTCTTATGACA